CTCCTCACACCCAGGGACAGGAATGCCCACTCCACACCCAGCTTAGCCCTTACACTCACCTAACACCTTCCCTGACCGCCTTGACTCTGACCCTGACCCTGCTCCTGTCCCTGTCCCTATAGGCACCCAGGTCAGCCAAAGCAGGTTGATGCACAGGCTGGTAAACACAGCCATGGTAACAGGACCAGGCTGGAGACCAGTGGGTAGATGGGGACAAGTGGGAGGGGCTGACTGGAGGAGGAGCCAGTTGGGGAGCAGGGCCACTGGGGAGGAGGGGCCAGGCCAAGAGAGTGGGGCCCAGCCAGGGGAGGGGCTACCCTGGGGGAGGGGGTAGCAAAAGAGGAGGACCTAGTGGAGAGAGGGCCCCCCCTGCGGGATGTGGAGAGGGAGGCGCTTGGGGTAAGACTCCCCTAGTAAAGCAAGTATCCATGGTGGGAGATGGTATGCTGAGCAGTGGGCGCAGCACGTGCAAAAAGGTGTACAGCTTGACTTCGTCAACGCACACCTGGGTCACAGGCTCTGACAAGAACAACCAGGTCATCCAGGGCCCTGCGCCCTGCAATTACGTTCGTTGTTTTACCTCCAAGCAATTCCTGGTTCTGCACCAGAGCTCAGACAGAACTGGAGCTGCTCAGGGGAATTTCGGCTGACTCCCATTTCTTCGGGACAATTGTGTTTTCTGTTACCCTGCCTATGGCTTAGAACAAGGCAGAAACTGAAATATATTTCATTTACATTTATAAGCAACCAAATTTAAAACACATATTCTGCTCACTGCAATGGACTCTTACGACCTAAAAATTAAATAGAAATACAATAATTTTGACTAACGCTGGCCACATAATGGATATTTCGACATTGTATGACACGAGTAACACAGGGAGGATACTAGGAGCTGGTAAGGCTGTGTCGTGTGCCAAATGATACACTCTTGTCCTCCCAGGCAGGGCAGGAGGCGGACTCCTGTGAGTGGGGTGGGGACCTTGAGCCATGAGCCTGCCCTGTCCTGGCCTCACTTCTCTGGAGATTCCACCAGCAGGTCAAGCATGACCTCCTCCACCTCCTCCTGCACACTCCTGCCAACTGCTCCCACCCCTCAGGTGGGTCCCTGAGTGTACCAACATCAGGGAGCTCATCACCTCTTCCCCAAGCTGCCACCTCTGGTACTCTGTAATTACAGTCTGTAAGTAGCATCACTAGGGGCCCAGCCCAGACGTCTGACACATCCCCTCTCCCCCACATCTGGACACCCACCCTTCCTGCCCAGCTCTCCAGCCCACCCTGGCGGCCTTCCCACCTCCTGACTCTGAGCAGGCTGTGGATGCTCATTAGAGGATGCTTTCAGTCCGACAGTTGCTCAGCTAAATAAAAATGAATTGTATTTTGTTCAGCTACAACCAGTGGCCCAAAAACAAAGCACTGGAAAGGGGAAAGAATTCAGTTCTGGCCAACACTGAGCACATATTTATGGGCACCTCCTCAGTGTTGGGCTCAACTGGGCACAAAGCTGCCTTCCCCAAAGACCTATCTGTTCAGGGACATCCTCTGGAGCAGGAGCTGAGCATAGCTGCTGAATTCCACCTGTGCTAATAATTCCACCCGCTTCCTGAGTTCTCTCCTGTGCCTCCCAGAATCCTGGGCTGGTCTGAGTTCCACAGGGGAGGAATGGGGTACCCTAAAGCACATTCACTGCATTCTCTGAGCGTTGGACACCAGGAGCAGCACAAGAATGCTGCAGGAGACTCCAAGGGCCTCCCTGCAGAGGGACAGAGACTCTGGAAAAAGAACATAGGGCCTTGCTCCATAGCAAGGAACAGGGACCTGAACCCAGGCCTCAGTCCAAAATGCAGGCTTTCCTCAGAACCCCTCAGGACCATCTCCCGGACAAGAAGGCATCTGAGTTCCAGAGATAGGATCTGGGCTCTGCGCCTGTGGCTCAAGTGGCTAAGGCGTCAGCCACATACACCTAAGGTGTCGGGTTCAAATCCAGCCTGGGACCGCCAAAACAACAATGACAGCTGCAACCAAAAAATAGCCGGGCATTGTGGCAGGCGCCTGTGGGCCCAGCTACTTGGGAGGCTGAGACAGGAAACTCGCTTGAGCCCAAAAGTTGGAGGTTGCTGTGAGCTGTGATGCTACGGCACTCTACCCAGGGGGATAGCTTGAGGCTTTGTCTCAAAAAAAAAAAAAAAAAAAAAAAGATAGGATCTGAAGGGAGGGGCTCCTTTGCCAAAGGAGTTAACCTCACTCCGGAGCCAAAAGGCACCTGGTGCTGTCACTGGGCTCAGCACCAGGAGGCCACCATGAGGACCTCAGATCCTGAAGTAGCATCCTGCTGTTCCCCATCCCTGCACAGATTCTCTCACCTCCCTGTCTGCTCAGTCTGTCTTTGAGCCTCTTTGGGGGCGTCCACCACACAGCCCGCATGCTTCCTCCCCAGAATTGAGTACTAGAAATGTATTACTGTCAGCAGGTGACTGCCCTGCAGAGTGACAGGGGCCTGAATGAGAGGTGGGTGGTAACACAGTGAAGAGCAGCAGAGACAGCAATGCTTCCTAGCTGTGCATACCATCTTCCTCATTCATCTCAAGTACCAAGTTGCAGAGCTCATTAAGGACAGACTTCCCAGGCTCCTGGAATTCTCTAATTAGGAGAGAGAATCTCTGTGGGATCATAGACCCCTCCTGTATGTGTCCCTGCATTGCTGACTATCTACAGGGTGTCCATAAAGTTTGCATGCAATTTTAAATTGCACATGAACTTTATGGACACCCTGTATTTATCAGTGTCACTACTAGCTGTATAGAATGACATATGAACTTGAATAACAACATTCTAAAGAGACCAAATGATTTAAAAGTAGCAGAAGATTTCCAATAGGTGCTTTTCCAAAAACTTCTCACACTCACTACAACCCTGGTGGGGGTGATACGCCCTTTGAAAAGGAAAGGAACGTGAAGCTTGGTGAGGGAAGGGTTTATTATTGCCCAGGAAGTCAATGCTAGTAGCAGGGAAACCCAGATGTCAGCTCCCTAAGAATCCTTGCTCCTAGGATGGCTTCCTCCCCCCCATCCCCCACCCCCGGTCACAGTAACAAGGGTTTGTCTTACCCCAGGGGAGGGCAGAGCTCTCTGTAGGTCAGAGGCACCTTTTCAGACTCTCACCTTACTCTCTTTTTTAACCTTTAATTCTAGAAAAGGAATGACTAGAGGCTATATAGGAAAATTCTTTATTTAAAAAGGAAAAGACAATAATACAGCCTTTTATTGCACCAGCTGACTCCCTGGTATATATAGAGTGAATGCAGTGTGTGGCTAAGATCCCTGAGCTTGCCAGGTGACCAAAATCAGCCCCTGGCATCTAGCAGGAGTGGGAAGTCTTCTTTTGGATACTGGTTTGGCTGTGGGGGTCAGCATGAGGCCCAGGTGAAACACAGAGGCATGGGGTGCCCAGGGGGTGAGGAGGCACAGAGTGTCCCCTGAGAAGGATCAGGCAAGGCCCACATGCTACCCACAAGAGGCAGTGGGAGAGCCTGCTGGAGAACCCTGCCCTCTTCCCTCCCTGGGGCTTGCAGTTCTCAGCTATTCCCCCTTTCCCTGCCTGTATCCCAGCCTCTTTGTCTCTGGTCTTCACCTTCTTCTCTTTCTCTCTTCCTCCACCTCCCAACCCCCTCTTTTCCAGATCAGCTCCACACACTCCCTCTTTTCCTCCCAGCTCCTGCCCATGGATTTCAGCACATGCTGGTCTCTCTCTTGCCCTAAAACACAAGCCCAGGGATGTATGTGTCTCTGTGCCAGGCTGTGCATCCCAGGCCCGCCCCCTGAGTGTGCGCTGCCCCTGGCATCACAGTCTGGGGACACCTCCCTAGGTCCCTGAATGTTGGTCCCATTGATCCCCCAGGCCAAACTCACCCCCTCCCCGCTATTCTTCCCTAATCTCTATCTGTTTCCCTCTGTCCAGCTTTCCCTATGACCCCTTCTCTCTCTCCCATTTGCTCAGACCACTGCCTCCTTTCCTTATATGGGTTCCCCCACCCCATCCTATTTCCATCCCCCTCCTGGCAAATTGCAGCCAGAGGCAGAAAGAAGATCCTGGGAGTGGGGCGGGGGCGGCCATCCAATACCTCTCGCACACCACCACCACCACTCCCCAAAGGGCGTTGGGTAAGGGGAAGCGGCTAAAGCCTGGCGGGACAAACCGCCCCCCCCCCCCCACCGCCCCGAGGTCCACAAACCCCCGAGGTCCACTTCCACCTCTGGCAGAGGGAGAGGCTGAGATCCTGAGAAAAGCTTGAGGAAGGCAAACGGTGTCTCCGTCCTTGCAACCATCTCACCCACCTGACTGGGAAGACAGTGACAAAGTTCTGGCGCTGCAGAGGCAGGGTCAGGGAGACCGCGGAGCTAGGGTGCCAAAGACTAGACTGTTTGACCTTGGCAAACCCTGCTTCTTCTGGGCTGGAGCTGGGTCCACAATGGGGTGACCAGGGAGAGGGAAGGGACCAGAGTCCGTCCTTACCGCCTACATAGACCCCTCGGGTCCGCGCTCCGGGAGCTCGAGAGAGGAGCCCCAGGCTGTGCGCACAGTGAGCTAGGGAGCCCGACCGGAGCCCTCGCTCCTCGTGCACTTTCAGACCCTCTAGGGGGACAGGTGCATCAAAAGAGCTGCGGACCCCTCTGGTACACGCTTGGCGGCTCACCAACTGCCTGACCTTGGGCCAGTCTTTTTCCTCTCCACGCCAATCTCCAGTCAGTCTCCACACTCCACGCCCAGGGGCGCTCTGTGGAATGTAACTCTGAAGAGAGTCGTGGCCCAAGGGGGCCAGCCCTGACGGCGTCCTCAACTCGATGAAGTGACCTTGAACACCACCACCCCCGGCCTGGGCCTCAGTTTCCCCACCCGCCCTGATTGGGGGGGGGGGAAGCGCCCGACTCCGAGTGCTCCTGGTCCCTCCCGGGCGGGTGTGTCTGAGACCAGATGGGGGCACGCGCCGCAGGACTTACCGTCCTCCAGAGACGTGGGCGCTTGGCGGGGACCAAGGTGGCTGTGACCAGCAAGTGCGAGGCAGCCACCACGAGCCCGAAGCCGACGGCCAGCAGGCTGCGCACGGGCAGCAGAGCATAGGACACGAAGGTGACCAAAAGGAGCTGCCAAACACCCTGTTCCGCGGTCGCCGGCCCCCCAGCGGTCCCGGCGGGACCCCGGGCGGGGCCGCCCAGCGCGAAGGGGCAGCAGAGCAGCGCGAAGGTGAGGCTGAAGAGCAGAGCCAGCTGGCCGACCTGCTGCAGCTGGGGCACCTGCAGGGACCGGACGTTGGTGACCACCAGCAGCGCCAGGAACAGGACGCAGTGCACCGGGTGCGAGCCCTTGGCCAGGCCGGGCGCCGGCCCTGGCGCGCCCAGCAGCTCGGCCAATGCTAGCGCGCCCGCCAGCAGACTGAGCACCACCAGCGCCTTCAGCGTGGCCGCCTGCTCCAGCCGCAGCGTGTAGCCGCGGAACAGCGCCTCCAGCTCGGGGCAAGCGAACTCCTCG